TTGCAAGATGAAACACGGGTCTCTCCACAGCCACCAGATCCTTCTCCTTGCTGGCAACTCGCTCTCTGACAACTCCAAAAGTCCCAAGTCCAGGAATGCGGACAGCCTGGAACAGATGAGATGGCGGATCAGTAGTCTCAGAGGCACAGACAGATGACTTGTTGGAGAATGGTGATGGTGCTTAGTGCCCTGCCCAGGCCTGGTATACACAGGAGCAAGACGGGCTCTTTGGAAACCTTGGGAGAAGACAAACAGGGTCTGTGCTTTTCCCTCTCACTCCCTTTCACCCATGAAGAACAATGAAGTTCAGGAAAAGCTGACAAACATCCTTTGGCTCAATAAGATAAAAGGTAGAGGCCAGGGGGGCATAGTCCAACCCTTTTTCTGACACTAGGCCTGGACCTTATTACACAGAATCACAGAATGGTCAGGGTTGGAAGGGACCTCTGGAGATCATCTAGTCCAACCTCCCCCGCCAGAGCAGGGTCACCTACAACAGGTTGCCCAGGATGGCATCCAGGCGGGTTTTGGATGTCTCCAGAGTGGGAGACTCCACAATCTCTCTGAGCAGCCTGTTCCAGTGCTCCACTACCCTCAAAGTAAAGAAGTTCCTCCTCATGTTAAGATGGAACTTCCTACGTTCAAGCTTGTGCCCATATTGTACAGAGAATGTACAGAATGGACAGAGGAGGTGGTCCGTCTCACATCTGTGCTTTGCAGTGTCATGCTGGGTCATTGTTCCTGCTTTCAGAGGAGGGGAAGAACAATTGCACTCCATGGCAAAGGGCTGTCAGGACTTCATCAACCTTCATCGAGATGAAGTCAGTCCCACCTGGTGGAGAGCCAGCTGTTGGCTGATGTAACGTGATGTGCTGGCCCAAATCTTAGCAAACTCTGGAAAAACAAAGGAAAGACATGTCATGCTCTGAGGCAGCAACCTCAAAACTATTCAGGCCACTCCTGTCCAAGGACCAATGCATGTCTAACACAAGCATTTCAGAGGGTCTCTCCACATCCCGGCAAGAACCAAGGGGCACCTCAGCCTACCTCCAAGAGGGCTCCTTTCCTTTCCAGGGCAGCTCTGCAGGCTGTGACCCACTCCCACGGGAAACTGACACTGGACTCCCACACCGGGGAGGATACAGTGCTGTGCTCCACGGAAGCCTCGGAGGCTCAGGGCAGGCCCTGGTGTCTCCCCAGCAGGGGCCAGTTTGCCTGTGTCGATTCTGCGAATGCACCAGCTCCACACGGCCCATGGGCACCTTCGGCTCTTTCACTCAGACAGGAGCTGAGGGTGGGCAATGCCCACCACCAGCCAAGGAGCAGCCCTTTGGGGCCAGGGACTTCTGCCTGGGGTGCCCCAGGAAGGCAAAGGCCGTGTCAGGAAGGGAACCGGGAGGCCTGTCTGCCACATCAGCCCCTCAGCCCTTAGGGATAGTCAAGCAGGTCCCTCCTTGCAGTCACCAGTCCCGAGCAGCCATCCCCAGAGCCCTCAGGGTTTCCATGCCTCTTTTCAGAGACGCCCTTGACCTGCCAACACTCATGAAATTGGGTCTGAAGACCTTACCAGAACTCTTGAGCTTCTGCATTGTTGGAGACAAGTGAGGCTGCAAGACGAGGTCTTCTGCCATCTTAGTTCCACCCTTGCTGCAGGTCAACAACTGCAGCAAGTGGCTGGTTATGGCTTTATTGCTTCCCGCAAAAAGCCTCCTCTTCCTCCTCCTCTCTGCTCTCCTCCACCTCCGCCGCCCTTCACCACCCCCAGTGCTGTTGTGCTGCCTCTCTCTGCCCTCTCCTCCTCACTGCAGAGTAGCTCCTCCCGAGCAGAGCGGTGGCAAGAGGAGCCCCCAGCGCCTGGAGTCCCCTCGGCCTCGCCAGTGCGTGTGGAGCGGAGGCTGGCCACAGTGGGGAAAGGCGGGCTGTCACCGCTATGAGGTGGGGCTGTCCCACTGTGACCTTAGACTGTCACAAAG